AAGGTAAGAACCTTCCTGTAGTTCCCTAATTATATTGGCAGAGGATCCTTGTAGAAGGCCCTTCGCGTATTTGAGCCCTATTGGGTACTTGCAGATACCAACTTACATGAGATAATACATGGCGCGAAAAGGCATAATGTTTCAGTGTTCAGAGATATAAGCCTCTAACTTCAGACAGTCCTTCGGATCCCCCCACCCCTTAATATTTGTTACAGCAGCAATGTGCAGTGTGGAGTAATTGATTTTATTTGAACTTGCTCGTACCTGACGTTCATATATTTATCATTATTTAGTCACTGTTTATCCAGAAACATAAAAATTAGAATATACAAAACTATTATTTTGCCTGTGGTTATGTATGGGTGTGAAACTTGGCCTCTGACATTAAGGGAGAAACATAGACTGAGGGTGTAAGATTTGAGGCTTTTACGGCGGTGACTATGAAGAAAGCAGTCTTTTGGGATTTGGCACCGTGTATAAGTGGTGTTAACCGACGTTTCGGAGGAACGTATCGCCTCCATCTTCAGGGTAGAAGAAAATATAAGAATTCTGCAAGCGAAGCAAGTCTGCTTTTACCGGTTCTCACGGTCTCTTCGCTTGCAGAATTCTTATATTTTCTTCTACCCTGAAGATGGAGGCGATACGTTCCTCCGAAACGTCGGTTAACACCACTTATACACGGTGCCAAATCCCAAAAGACTGTTTTCTTCATAGTCACCGCCGTGAAAGCCTCAAATCTTACACCCTCAGTCTATGTTTCTCCCTTAATGTCAGAGGCCAAGTTTCACACCCATACATAACCACAGGCAAAATAATAGTTTTGTATATTCTAATTTTTATGTTTCTGGATAAACAGTGACTAAATAATGATAAATATATGAACGTCAGGTACGAGCAAGTTCAAATAAAATCAATTACTCCACACTGCACATTGCTGCTGTAACAAATATTAAGGGGTGGGGGGATCCGAAGGACTGTCTGAAGTTAGAGGCTTATATCTCTGAACACTGAAACATTATGCCTTTTCGCGCCATGTATTATCTCATGTAAGTTGGTATCTGCAAGTACCCAATAGGGCTCAAATACGCGAAGGGCCTTCTACAAGGATCCTCTGCCAATATAATTAGGGAACTACAGGAAGGTTCTTACCTTTGCTGACCGGTTCACGGCTCTGCGCTTCACGGCGACCGCCGGCTTCGAGGGGCGTACGAATTTTGGCAATGAATCAGTATGCCTAATGGCCGATAACGTTTGGAAGTAAGGGAAGTTATTAAATTTGTGGACCGCTTGACGGCATTAGGTCTCATGGCGAGCACTGCGGGTCATGCTTTGGAATTTGTTTATGATTTGTCAGCAGCGGACGGCAGTTATCAGCTCCATTAGTCATTTGTTCTCAGTTATGATTAGTGAGCAGCTTGTTCCGTCATGGTGCGGTATTCTTTAGAGCAAGGTGTATTTCTGTACGACACCTACGTGGAATACGGATCTGCTAGGTGTCGACGAAAATTTTGACGTAAATTTCGAGATGAAAAAGTTCCCACCGATATACAATTCACAATTTGGTGAATAAACTTAGAATAACGGGACTCTTTAATAAACAAGAAACAAAAACATAAGCGACGAGTGCTTACTGAGAAGTTAAGATGACGTAGGGACCAGATTTGAATATATATATATAGAAAATCACTGATACGTCTGGTTTAAGAGTTTGGAGTGTCAAAATCTTGTATAAGAACCGCAACACAATTGCTGAAGCTTAGCTCTAATGAAACAAAAGTAATCCACGCACGCCTTGGAGCAGCGAGAGCCAATTATCAGGGGTCATTTTTGCAGTTGGTTTCTACAGTCTGTCGTCGAAGGTGAGATGGAACAGCAACTGATATTTTTTTTTCTGTTGAAGTGTAGCTTCGCTTGCAGGGATACTTATATATGCAAATAAGTCAGCTTCAGAAAAAATTCGCTCTTCATTACACTATGAAGCGTACTGCTATTGACTTAGCGTAGTTTCGGAGAATCTAATGGTATCCTTACCTTGTCCCCCACGCCAGCTGCTGTCACTTCCACATGAGCCCTCTTCTTCAGTTCATCCTTAATGGCCTCTGTAAAAGTCATTGAATCAGTTAAAATTTAATTTATGGAAAGTAAAAATATAAAGCTGTCCCTGTAATAGGCCGTGAAGGCCCATAAGGTTGTGAGACGTCGAGACTCCCACATTTTCTAGACAATCGGATCACAGATGGCAGTGAAGTTGTTAGGGCCTGTTAGAGGCTGAGTCGACACCAGGGCAATAGTGCGGCTGGAAGGATTAGGTAAACTGAAAAAAAGAATCCAATGACCTCATCGGGAATCGAACCCGCGACATTCCGGCTTGTAGCATATTGCCTCAACGAACTACGCTACCGCGTGCCCCTCACCAATCAGTGTAACAATTTATTAGACTAGATCAAATTAGAAGTATAGCCTTGCATGTTTAGGCCCCTTGGAGCCGGCCTAGGTGGAGTAACAATGTAAGGAATATAGTTCACAGTTATAACTTTTATAATGTTTTATGAAAAGGGATTTCTTAGAAGTATTTGCTGCAAAAAATTAATTAATTAAGTCTTCCTTACATACAGTACACAAACACCAGCGCAAGTCACATCTTCTCTACTTTGCGTGTTGTTAGACTCTTCGTGTTAAGGTTTATAGAAACACATCTGATTGTCCTGTTGGTTTTTCGTAGTATCAGTGCGTGTACTGGACTGGAGGTTGCTGAGGTTCAGTCCAGTGCAGACATTGATACCGACACACTCAACAGGACAATCAGACACTTTTAGTAACAAATAATAACAGAAACATCCTGATATCACGCATAAAATAGAAAATGCGACATGAGCTAGTGTCTGTGTGCCATATGCAAGGAAGTCCTAATGAATTTATATTCTACTGAAACATCTTCTAAGAAATATCTTTTTATATAAAAATTGCAACTTGCAACGTCAGTTTTCATTTCGCTGTAAAAATATGATCGAAGTTCGAGTCAAACTGGCAATAAAATAAATCAAAGATCGCTTACCAATTCTCTTAGCTACGTCTGAAGCATTTAGTCCTAAATTGTTTGGTTCAACTTTGAAGGTCACCTCATTCCTGTCAACTCTGCAACACAAATAAATAATATACTTACATTTTTGTTCATTAATACCATTGATTCTACGGGTTTAATTGGATAATGGAAGTTGTAATGAGAGCAAACACTAGAAAACATGCCACAGACATGTGTCAATTCTGAGCGAGTTGCCAACACACACTGTTAGTTTTTAACATCACCAATTATTGTTTCAACCCCAGCAAACTGGTGCCAGAAAAAAGTAAATATACGAAGGATAATATTAAAAAGTATTGCGGAGAAATATAACGTTAAGATGTAGAGTAGATTAAAGTGAGCCAGGATGGCGAACGTATTACGCGTTTTCTGGTTCCATAAAATGACAATTTCCTGACGACCTACATACCTGTCAATCGCTCAAGAAAAAAGCCAGAGCAATGGGATTAGTTACATACTCATTAGTGGTATTCGGATATGGAGTGGGTTTGTACATTTTGTTTCCGAAAAGGCGATAAGGTAAACTACGTGTTGGATCAGAGGTTGTCACAGCAGTGGCTATCTTCTGTGATATAACGTCGTATAGACCAGTGAAAGTCAATCAACTTTCTTACAAATAATAAGTTTTTGGACATTATCCACGGTCTTGTCTTTGTCTAAAAACCATCCTGTTTATTTTTAAAAACACAACGTTTCGGAGAATGGATTCTTTCTCCGTCTCCAGTCAAAACCTCAAATGGGCCCAATCGATAGATCTAGTCCCTATCTCCGGACGAGGTCCGGATTGGACCCAATTGAGTAGGTTTTACCTGAAGACGGAGAAACAATCCAGTCTCCGAAACGTTGTGTTTTTAAAAGTAAACAGGACTTTTTAGACAAATACAAGACCATGGACAATGTCCAAAAACATAATATTTGTACTAATGTACCATCTTTGGCCGCGTCATAGCTCGAGCGGTTAGTCGCTGGCTTCCCACCGCGGCGGTCCGGGTTCGATTCCGGGGTCTGGTCAAGTGGGATTTGTGGTGGACAAAGTGGCGCTGGGGCAGGTTTCTCCGAGTATTTCGGTTTTCCCTGCCAATCTTCATTCCACCAAATTCTCCATCACCATGATCACCCGGGGCAGTCTACAATAGGCCAATCAGTGGCCGCCGTACCGAGTGGACCCAGTATGACTCCACCCCACAGAAAGCGAATTAAAAAAGAAAAAGTACTATCGTCACAGACTTTTAGATCTAAAGGGACGTTCTACCGAAACGTTAGTTGACTTTCACCGGACTATACAGTGTCACATCCCAGAAGACTGAACTCCTCACATATTAATTTTTAGTAAAGCTATTCGTATCCTAAGGTTCACGCAATTCTTCAAGTCAAATTCAACGCATTCGAACTGAACTTTCCAACCGCCTTCATCCTGGAACTTCTCTAATGAACTGTCGGGATACGGTGTCGAAAAGAACAGTTTTCTTACGTCCTGTCGGAGGCCGAACCCTTGTCTCCCAGTCAAGGAATTCGTCACGAGCACTGTATTAGTCAGTTTAACTTACCTAATGTGGGTGAGAGTATCATTATCCAGTCCCAGAAGTTCCTCCACTTTGTTCACGATATGTCTACCTTCATTCCAGGTCCGAATCCTGAAACAAATATTTCACGTCATAAAATTTCCTTAAACGCAACTGGATATATTTTCAAGATCACTGCATAACGTCTCAGGCTCCTATAAGAAGAAGCGACTGGACCACCGTTATCACAGCAGAAGTCAAGAGACTACAACGCCGTCAAGTGTAGTTTGAGTGGGGAAATTTTGTTTTTCTTGGGTTGGTACCATAAGGAGTATTGTTTCTATCTATCGATGATTTCACTCAAAATACTTTTCTGGTGCAAGGTCTCATACGTGTGGAGTTTCAATAATTTAATATTTTCTTAGCGCTCGCAGATGGTTTGTGCTGTGTTTGATTTCTGTACCCCATCTTGGGGCTGGCACAGATGTCCGGAGATAGGCACTAGCTCTATCGATTGGGTCCAACTGAGTAGGTTTTACCTGAAGATGGAGACAGAATCCAGTCTCCGAAATGTTGTGTTTTGAAAAATAAACAGGACGGTTTTAAATAAAGACAAGACGACGGATAATGTCCAGAAACATAATATTTGTACAGACGTATTATTGTTGGTAAGATCAGACTAGTACGATCAGAAAGCACAGCGGTGGTGTGGCTTCTTGTGATAAAATATTTTCACAAGTTTCAAGATAAATTTCAAGATTTTGATAACTGGAAGAACCACAAATTATACGCGATCCAACAACCCTCATGAAATACACAAAATTCACAAATTTTTACACAAATATGAAGCAAGTAAAGTAAAGCTGTCCCTGTAACAGGCCGTGAAGGCCCATAGGCTTGTGAGACGTTGAGGGTCCCACATGATCTAGATAATCGGCTCAAAGATGGCGGTAAGGTTGTCAGCCCTAGGCGCCGGCCGCGCTTTACTCCTCAGGAAAATTATTTAATTAATTCCTGGTAACCGCGACCTTCCAGCTTGTAGCATAGTGCCTCAACCAACTACGCTACCGCGTGCGTGCGTGCCCCTACAAATATGAAGTTCGAAGGAGATATTTAAATTCAAATTTAGAGTAAACAGCAATCTCTCAAGTAACCCAGTTAATATCTAAACTGTAACTGTCTGGTTTAATTAAAGAGCAATACAGAAGTGTCTGGAGAAATGTAACAAGAAACTCTAACTCTTTGCTATCACACAGTCAAAATTTGTGTTAAGAGTATAAGATTAGAAATTAGGTTAGCCAAAGAGATGCAGTGTCGATCACAGTGGCCGCGCGCGGTCTAAGGCATGAACTGTATTCGTTTGCTCGAACGCTGGGATCGTGGGTTCGAATCCCACTCGAGGCATGGATATCTGTGTATGCGTTTATTCTGTGTTTGTGTTGTCCTGTAGTTAGGTAGCGTCCTTGCGACTGGCTGATCACGCGTCCAAGGAGTCCTACCATCTGTGAAAATTTATTACGGAAATGAATAAGAGACCTGTGCCCCGAATGGGCTGGAAGAGACACTGAAAAAAAATTTTTCTCGCGATCTGAAACTATTTTAAGGTAAAAATAAAATCCCCTTTCATTCAGGTTCCGCTATAGACAGATTTTTCTGCATTGTTATAATTTACTTACCCATCCTTGAAACCCACATAGGCGTAAGTGGTGTCAACTATAGCATATTTGCCAGACTCTGAGGTGGGTTCCATTGCGTCAACTGCTGGAAGTTCCTTCTTCTGGTAGGCAACAAGTGATCCATGGTCCTGAAAGAGAAACACTCTTACCTAATAACTATTCCTTTGAATTAGTGAGTGGCTTTGTATCCACATAAAATATTTGTTCATACTCTGCTAAAATAAATAAAAATGACTATATAGAGTCTCTATCTGGCTCGACAGCTTAGGGAGCTTCATAAAGGTCTCCAAAAGACCCTATTTGTTTCAATGAGCTTGAAAATGTTAAGGGAATTTTCCGCTTTTCTCTTACTTTTATCAGTTTCTTTTTAAACATGTACGACGTAATATCAAAATATTTTGGTGAAAGAAACGGAACAGGGCGCAGCGGATTAAAGGCAGCTTTTTAGAGTTTCAAAAAAGCTAATCCATTTAAGCCAAAGCGCATTATTGGACTCACTTTTTTTTCCTTGGCACTACAGCCCCAGTGGGCCTAGGCCTACCTCCATGAACTTCTCCGTTCACTTCGGTTTCTCTAGATCTTACACATTCGGTAGGACCCTTGGGCGGGTGATCAGCTCGTCGCAAGGCCTCTACCTGTACACAAACACAGAAAAACGCACACAAACATCCATGCCCTGGGTGGGATTCGAACCCACGATCCCGGTTTCCATGCGAGCGAAGACAGTACATGCCTTAGACCGCTCGGCTACCGTGACGGGCACAGCTACTACACTAGCCAATATTTTTTTTTATTGCTAGTGGGATGGGACTAAGTCCCTTGTACTGCAGCCACTTCTGGCCTATTGTACCAGCCCAAGATGATAGGTGAGGGTGATTGTGGAGCAACTGGTGGAATGAAGACTGGCAGGGGAAACCGAAGTACTCGGAGAAAACCTGCCCCAGCGCCACTTTCTCCACCACAAATCCCACTTGACCAGACCCGGGGTCGAACACGGGCCGCCTCGATGGGAAGCCAACGAGTAACCGCTTGACCTATGGCGCGGCTCATTATTTTATTTAGTAATTTTCTATGTATGTACTTTTACTTTTAAGTATTCTATAACACCAACACTGATCATAAGGCTACTTGGTTTCTATGTTATGAGCCTCTCCTAATTTATTACGTTCTCTTTCTTGCTTGTACCATAATACAGATCGCACAAATATTAATTTTGCCCTAATTCAATCAGAGTCTTTCACAGTCTTTATTGCCTGTATTACCTGGAATTCACATATATTGTGCTCTCTATATCCAGTGGCTGATTAGGGGATTGCCGTCTGTCCTGGCTTCTGACGCACATCTAATAAAATTACCTGTCCATCATGGTCCAATTGGTAAGAATTCTAAAGGTCAAAGATCACTGCCAACTCGAAGTTCTCGAACATATACCGTTATTGTAACTGCGTTTATAGAGTGGTTCTGAGATCAGACTGGAAGATTATGGATTTTTTTTTATTGCTAGTGGGGTGGGACTTGGTCCCTTGCACTGCGGCCACTTCTGGCCTATTGTACCAGCCCCAGATGATAGGTGAAGGTGATTGTGCAGCAATTGGTGGAATGAATATTGGCAGGGGAAACCGAAGTACTCGGAGAAAACCTGCCCCAGCGCCACTTTGTCCACCAAAAATTCCACTTTACCAGACCCGGAATCGAACCCGGGCCGCCGCAGTGGGAAGCCAACGACTAACCGCTTGAGCTATGGCGCGGCTCATTTATGGATATTTACTTCACTGAACCTGCTAGCAAGTATCATTCGCCTGCTCACATGGTGCATTTATTTATAATTATTGTCATCCTTGCGTCATCAACTCCATGACTGTCAACATAATATCATCATTAACACCAACAAGAACAACAACACCAATTATATGTTAAAATGTTTAGATTTACTCTTTCAGCGGGCAAGTTTAAAATATTCAGAGGATCCGATTATGTAAGTCGAAATGGAAAAGAACAATTTCAATTTACTTAACCTTACAGAGCAAATTATGACTTATGTGGTCATTGGGTCATTTTAATCGCCACACAGAAATTTCAGCTGCTCGTGACACGAAGAATAATTAACAGTAAAGACTTTTAAAATCAAGCCGAATGAAAATGACAATTACAAGAGCAGTGATAATTCGTTTCGGAGAATTGCTTATTGCTGAAAACACTATCCACATAGCTGCTAAATTAATTTTATTTTCCTAAAGGGCCTCGCACCTGGACGGTGTCTGTAGATAAAACGAACACGAGATTTGGTATGTGGAATGTAAAGGCGCGTCGACATTGCTCGTGCTCGTCGGGAGACTCGTCTGGCATTTACTTGTGCCCGTAAATCTTCGTCCACACTACTTCAGTTGCTCGCCAGGCTTCGGCGCGTGAGGATCCGTATATTTACTCGTAGTGTATATAGGCCGTAGTCGTATTTTAATTTATTGGCTAGTTCTTAAATTAAAATTAAAAATTTGCTTGTCTAATGACTTGTCATATCGTCCACATTACTCGCGAGCATAGCAAGTCACATGAGGACGAGTAATGTGGAAGCGCCTTAAGTATTCTGATAGGGTACGTTCGCTCATGACAGTTCCGCGAGAACTATCAATATGTAAGGCAGATTCAGTGGTAGCACAGGAGGTCAGATGGGGTGGAGGTGGCACGGAATCAGCAGGCGAATATACATTTTTCTATGGGAAGGGGACTGAGATTCAAGACGGGATATCGCAGTCGGTATAGCTACTGGCTACGGGCTGCACGACCAAGGGGTCGGAGTTCGAGTCTCGGGGGGGAGGGCAAGAATTTTCACTTCCCTATGTTGTCCAGACCGGCTCTGGGTTTCATCCAACATCTTAGTCAATGGGTACCGGGGGCTCTTTCCCTGAGGATAAAGCGGCAGAGTCGTGAAGCTGACCACTCATCTCCAGTTAGTGCCGAGGACAAGTAAATATGGCTCTATACAACCACTCCCCCATAAGCTTTCATGATGTAGTGCTTAATTAGTTAAGCACAGGGACAACTTTACATTTACATTAAGAGAATCATATCAGCAGTTGAGAGGGTAGAGTTTTTAGTGTTAGGATGTCGTACATAATGCTAAGAGCTTACTGGAGTGATATTATTGTTCTGAAAGTTCATGCCCCAGAAGAGGATAAAATTATTGATGAAGGCTAGTTTCTACGAAGAACTAGAATGTGTATTCGATAAATTTACTATTTTTTTTTCCTTGGCATTACAGCCCCAGTGGGCCTAGGCCTACCTCCATGCACTTCTCCGTTCACTTCGGCTTTTCTTGATCTTACACATACAGTAGGACTCCTTGAGCGGGTGATCAGCTCGTCGCAAGGCCTCTACTTGTAAACAAACACAGAAAAACGTACACAAGCATCCATGCCCTGAGTGGGATTCGAACCCACGATCCCGGCTTCCGAGCGAGCGAAGACAGTGCATGCCTTAGACCACTCGGCTACCGTGACAGGAAAATTTACTAACTACCAAATTAAAATATTGTGACATGTTGAGCTATGGATGACGCCCCTCCCCCCCGCCAGCCGAAGTGAGCCGAGTCCTAGCATCCTGGTCGCTATGCAACGCGAGTTAACAGCGATGACGTCACCAAGGGTACCGCGGGTTGCTAGGCAGCGCGGGTAAACAGGATTGCGAGAGACGACGGTAGTAACAGCGGTTACTACCGCTAGCGTTGCTAGCAACACAGCGCCAGGCAACAAGGGTGCTTATTACGTGGCCGTTTTCCGTATTGTCCGATCGAGGCTACATGAGGAGCAGCGAGGGCTATTCACAGTTAGTCCTGGAGCTACCTCCGAGTTAGTTCCGAGTTAGCCAGCAACTAGTCAGTTGTATTCTGGCATTTGGAATGTACTATTTGTGATACTGCAGATAGCAGTAATCGTAAATCTGTAATTTGGGTGATTGTTAAGTGCGAATGTGAAATAAAATTCGCTATATAAAATACGGCGTGAACTTATTTGTCGCGTTATACGCCCGACACGCGACAATATTCTTATGAGATTTCAAGGCCAAAGTAGGCAGGAAAGACAGTGTGTTTGCACATCTTGGGAATCCAGAAGAGGGTGGATCCCATTCTTGCACTCATGTGGGCGACTTAACTTAATAGAAGTACAGCATATTATTAAAGTTGATTCCTATAAACGTAAGTGTAACTTATCAGTGCCAGTATACATGTGTTACGTAATCAAACGTCTCTCTGAGGTACGCCTGCGTGATCATGGTGCGTGTGCATGCAACCAGGTTCTTTCTGTCCTGTTAAGCCAGGCCCGTTAAGACCCACAGACCAGATGTCCGGCTCTACCCATCCCAGCCAGTCAATCCTGCCTGACCTTACCCGAAGGATTGTAGAAATTCATGGCCACCAAGCCGCTGTCTACTGGCACCCATCCATCCTTCTACCTTCCCAGCCTCTCACTACGACGACAGTGAGGAAAGAGATAAGGACGGCACCCCAAGCTGAGGAATCATTAGCGTCATCGTCCGAGGAAGGCCGTAGTTGCATGCAATGTCTACGGATTTCAGCGGCGGTGAAACAAGTCCGGCTGATAGGGACTACACTGCCTATTTTTCTTTCCCAAGTACATGCCTGTCATTACAGATAAACATTTCTTTGAATTTTAACATTACTTTTGTATACAGCATATTTCTGTGACCACAAACGGAAGAATGAAGGACCGCAAGTTTAATTACTTCCTGTCTGTTTTGTTCTGTGCTTTACAGTTAAGGGCACTGTATAAGAACTTACTTGCTCTTGAAAGCTGACAGAATCCTTATTGTTATCATCTTCGGCTAATAAAGGAGATGATGCTTCAGCTGTCTTTTTGTCGCTGCCATCTGCAAAGGAATCATATTGATGGTTAATATTATCACTTTGACATAGAAATTTCTTGAAGAAACAAACATCCGCAAGGTTATTTTGACTTTTCATGGATGAATTCTACTTGGCATTTATGAAACCCTGGCACACGTAGAGTAATATATAATCAGTTTAGTGTAACTGCAATTTACTTATGGCGGAGAGTGCTGAAAGTAAATTTCAAAATTATAAAATCACATGCTGATACCTCATCTTCTGTTAAATAGAAGACTATGGAACATTTATGTAAAATTGTGAATGCTCTTGATACCGACATGTAGGCCTATCTGTTTTCGCTGTAATAAATCTATGAACTAGGCCGCGACATAGCTTAGGCGGTTAGTCGCTGGCGCCCCACTGCGGCGTCCCAGGCCAGGTCAAGTGGGATTTGTGGTGGACAAAGTGGCACTGGGGTAGGTTTTCTCCGCGTACTTCGGTTTCCCCTGTCAATTTCATTCCACCAATTGCTTCATAATCACCATTATATAGGGCTGGTATAATAGGCCAATAGTGGCTACAGTACCAAGAGGAGTCAGTCTCACCCCAATAAGAGGAAAAAGAAAGCATATGAACTGGGGATGTTGACGATGTTTCGAGATCAGATTTCTAGGAAATTCGTAAGAAAAAAAAATAAACAAGGAAATCAGTAGCGACCTCAGGCGCTTTGTGGCTTCAGAACACAATTCCTTCTGTTTTTCCTGGTCTCACCCTCTAGATAGAGCTTTACGTTACAGAGTAGCCGTAGTCCGTGTTATTCAACAGACAAAACAGCAGAACGTCATCAAAAGAAGAACGCGGAGAAGCGGGGAAGCGCGGTAAATGCTCGTCGCGTTTTCTGTGCCAAGAGCAACGGACGCTACAAAACGAAGCAAGCTAGGCAATATTAAACCAAGCCCTAGGGTAACAATTCTTGGGAGTTTAGAAACTTACGCTTAATTGTCTCGAAAACAGAAAGTCATATGGCGAAAGTGTATCGGGCACAAAAGTCGTGTTTCATTTTTTCTCAGCAACTTCTGTTTGAAACACTTATTGTATCGGTAAGTAAGTCATTCAGTGAGTTTTGCTCTATATGTGAGCAAAAACGCATACCGATCTTCGTGCAAAGTGTCAAATTTTGTTTGATTTTAACCGAAATTGGGATGTGTCGATAACGTTAAGAAAAACTCCAAAATATAAACTTCCTCGAAAATTTGTAGGATTTCACAGCGATGTTTATGGAGGATTCCAACTTCTGGGATACAGAGACACACAGTTCGGTGAAAGTCGACAGATGCTTCGGAGGAAGATGTCGCTGCCATCTGTTTGCTGCTTCTTAATTCTGATTTCTTCCTTAGCTTACTCTTTAACCCTGAAATCTGAGGAGAAATTTTCCTTCGAAACAGCGGTAGAATTTTAATAGGCTACATGGTGTAATTTCTCTGAAGATAACTAACTCCGTGGCTTTTAGTCCTCACCTTTGCCACCAACGTATCGACTAAATAAATGAATACAGTCACTCGCGTAGACTAGATCATTCACTCATGGAGCTGAACCCTTCTTGAGAAGCCGCTACTCAAGCACTTACCAGCATTTTATGGAACATGAAGGTTCATTACCGTGTTCACCAAGAGCCCTTAAATGGTACCTATCCTGAGCCAGATCAAACCAATCCATTCCATCATATCTCTCTAAGATTCACGTAGACTAGATAAATGTCCTATATGCAGTTACATTATTTCTGGCATTAATCAACATTAATCCATCAAACCTGTTCAAGGAATTCACAGTAATGGTCAAACAGCCTATTAATAAGAGTAAACTGTTGATTTTATTACAACTAAACCCTTGAAGAAAGCAGTCTTCTGGGATTTGGCACGGTGTATATGTGGTGTTAACCGACGTTTCGGCGAAACGTCGGTTAACACCACATATACACGGTGCCAAATCCCAGAAGACTGCTTTCTTCATAGTCACCGCCGTGAAAGCCTCAAATCTTACAACTAAACCCTTATTAAACTTCGGTTCTGTACACAACACTGCACTAGCATTGACTCATAAAAAGAGGTAGAGTTCGACGAAACAATGAACGCTTATTACAGGAAATAATTTCTATCCTGTTGAGTTTTGTGTTAGTGCGACAAAGACAGAAGTTAAGATTTTTTGGCATTCACGTAATTTAATTACATCTACAAGCGGTAATAGTGACCCCACATTAAATAAATACCTAACATATTATATACGCCGGTCTATTTCGTGGAACTGTGTACTGAATTAGGGAAGAGAGGTTGACAACAGCATTGATTTAACATGGGAGGGAGTAAACGTCCCCATTATTAGCTAATTTGTGTCTTTCCTGAAAAGGTCAACGCTGATTCACCATGAGAAGATACATCTCTGTGCTTACTCAAACTGCGTGTTTTGTGATGCCATAAAATGACCGTATTAGGTCTTGTTAGGCGAAGTTCAACGCTCTTCGCTTCTTACAACTCTTTATGGAAGCGGTTTCAAATGCTAGATGACACTGGTGCCTGTAAGAACACTTTCACAGCTGAAATGTTTATATCGCGTTCAATAAAAGATCTTTGTGAACAATAGAAAATGTAAGATTTGAGGTTTTCACGGCGGTGACTATGAAGAATACCGTCTTCTTGGATGTGGCACCGTGTATATCTAGTGTAAACAGAAGTTTCGGAGGATCGTATCGCCTCCATCTTCAGGGTAGAAAAATCCGCGAGCGAGGAACCAGCGAGAGCGGGTGGCTGCAACCTACAGCTGCCCCTGCTCTCATAAATAATGAATAACTGCATTTAATTAGTTTACAGAACGAGAGTCATATATATACATATATAATCGTCATTATATTAAAATGTTCTTTCTTTTAGAGAAAGCGCATATACTAAATATAACTATAATTTCTGTGTATAATGCCTCATTATGGCAGAAGCCTTCGAATAGTATCCGTAACAGAAATGTTCAAATTTCTTTGTTTAAGACGGTGAACGCAGTTATGTGTGTAAAGCTTTTAACTTTTTTCACAATTATCTAATTTCTTTGGACGTTGGGAAATAACACACGAACAAAGAATATGAAATAATTACTAAATGCAGATCAGAGATAGTGCAATCGGTATAGCGACTGGCTAGGGGCTGCACGACCGAGGGGTCGGAGTTCGAATCCCAGTGGGGGGGAAAGAATTTTTCATCTCTCCGCTTTGTCCAGACCGACTCTTGCGTCCACCCAACCTCCTATCCAATATGTGCTAGGGGGGAAGCGACCGGGGCGTGAGGCTGACCACTCACTCAAGAAAACATAGGTCTATACATCCACTCCCTTATAAGTCTTCATGGCGTAGTGTTTAATTAGTTAAGCATATGGACAATGTTAGTTTTTTTTTTTAAATGGAGTTTTCACTTACGGCCTTTCCGTCAGAACGTTTTAAGTTCTCAACCACAGCGGGTTTCAATTCAATTTTCGTATTAACTGCTAGTGTTCGTTCGTGTTCAGTGTGCCCCGTTCTACAAAAGAGTATTCTGCTGTAACACTGACACAAATATTAGCGAATACAAAAAATAACGCTGTAGTTGCTAGCATTTCAACCATCAGTATTCATAACCTCTTTTTAAATTCTTTGATGTGACACGTTGGCAGATTCAAATATGAAAAATTTTATGACAGCTTAAACATCGTCGAAAACTAAGGAAAAAAACTATAAGAAACAAGCGGAGTAGGTGCAAGAAAGCAACTTACAGTAAAATCACGGGTTCTCTTTTACGTCGACTATCACTTCTTATGCAAAGAAAACCAAGCGAAAGGGAGAGAGATTTTTGAAACATATCTCAGAGACAAAGAGTGCTCTCTAAGGAAGTAAAGAGCTGTCTTAATTATTACGAATTATCTCCGAAACTTGAACTCCGATGCCACGCTGCATGAGAGCAAAACATCGTTTTCGATAATGCGAAGTTAACAAACTGGATATCGTTATGTGGTAACCATGGCATCCAGATAGACGTGTGCCATCTCTCTCTTTGCTACTGAAAGGCTTTTCGCATTAGGTTTACGTATATTCGCCTTATTTCCCCAACCTCTCCTTTATTCGCTGCCTTATACCTTCTGTGCTTTTAGCAAAACGATGACCTCGAATCGAAATCTTGTTATTTTTTCTTTCCAAAGGAATAGACAGCAGCAAACACGCGGTAAGCCAACGATGAGAGCATGAATGGTATACGAATAAAATAAAAAAAAGGCATTTCAGAAAGCAGAAACATGTATTCATGTCCGACATTTAAAAAACAGCCATCTTGGTTGTAAATTGCATTAAGCACCGTCTCAGTTATTGATATTTTTGTACATTATTACACATACTGTACTGTAATATCTTCTTATTTCTAGATGAGTAACTACTATGGAAGAAACCATGACTTATATTTATTAATACAAATCAGCTGTAAGTTGAGAAAATTGCCTTTGAGTTTATTTCCTCTAATACAAGCTGCGTTATGTTTCATCATGAATGAATTCTGTGTAGATTTTCAGTTTGAATCAATTCTTGATATGTCATCTAGTTCATCTGCTTCACTGAAAATATTTACTATTGTCACGTGATAGCTATATGCGGGTTTTGGATTGAGGACCGGATGTATTGAACTCTCTGATACAGCGCGGGACTACACTTCACAGTTCACTGTTACACAATAGTTCGTTGCTTGGTAGCGGCTTCCAACGACGGACGTTCCCCTACCTCTGGGTTCTCGAACTGTCCCCGGCCACAGCTATCGGCTCCTAACAGCAACAAAAGTCAAAGTTATGTTACGACTGACGGTCAGTCGGCCAGTATCTCTTGGAATAAAGCACCCATTTGGGGCTCAAGACCAGATCTTTATTACCGTATGACAGTTGCGGGTTTGTTGTTGTGGAGCGCTCTCTCTGACGAGAGGACGGGTCTGTCTTTTGCCATAGTCACAGTCAGCAGTAATAAGCCTGTTGTCAGTATGTACAACTTACATTTATGTGTTATTAAATTACGCATATACACCATACACAAGGCCTCTTTCAGTTCAGGTTCAGTATAGCAGATCATGACTCATTTCGGCACGTACCGGGTAGAAAACGTATTCTCTTGCTGCCGTGGAAACATGTTTGTTTGTGCAACCGTTACCTAACTGTTGTATAATTGCTTATTTCGCGGTAGTTGTGTAGCAATGGGTCTACATACCACATTATGCTTCATCTTGATTTTAAAATCTGTGCATAGTTAAAGGATGAATCAATTCTTGAAACAAATTTTACCTCTTTTATCTAATGGCAGTGATAAGTTTATTGCTTAAAAACATAATATGAATAATATAAAATAGCATTTCTAATGGCACGCGGTCAGTTCGGGAACCCAAATGAAGGGGAACGTCCATCGTTGGAAGCCGTTACCTGGTAATGACTTGTGAAGACACAGCAGACTGAGAAATCTCAGTATCTGCTGTAGTGAACGTCAGAGCACGTGAATGAGCGACAACGCTATAGTTGCTTGTAGTTACGATCTGTAAGCGGTCAGTAAATCCAATTACCAATCCAAACTCCGTCTATAGTCACTCATGCACGTGACATGACGCCTCATGACGACCTTTACGGTCTAAATATATAGTTAATATATATACATTATTTATTATACTGCAATTGGGTTTTAGCCCGGTGGTAGTAGTACACAATAGGACACAACAGACAAGTAACACACATTACACTAAGTGACAACACGTTCAAACAAAACACAATACACAAAACACAACAATAAGGACATCCTACCACAATGAATACAAACCAAATACGATTAACAACTACAACAATTACAGAGAAATACAAACAACTGCAACAAATACAACAACAATTGCAGAGAGAGAGAAGAAAAAAAAAATACAACACCCAAAACACAAACAAAAGGAAACCAACAGTCATGGATGCGATGTGTGATTCGGTATTATATATGGCTTTTAACAACTGAATACAAGTTAATTTGGTGAGATGGTAAATACACATATATATATATACACACACACACACATACCAAGGGCTAGGTTTACAGTTGTGGAGGCCCTAGGAAAATCAAAACATTTTAACGGATTTGATCAATAAATTGCTAGGCAACGGCTCGGTAAATACGTCCCAACACGTGCCACATAATACGGCGGCAGTGTTTTCTATGCGGTCCACACAACACAACACTATGAGTGTTGTGTTTTCTGCATGGTCCATGTCGCGTCTATTTAACAGGAGTGCTTTTGCAGCTGAGATTACTCCCGTGTGGAGGAGGTATGGAATACCTCCACCGTTGCCCTTCGAGTCGTAGGAGGCGACGAAAAGGGAAGTCTCGAATGTAAGACAGTAAAGTATGGCCGCGAGCCCCACGGGACTCGGACCCGAGAATGACCGCGCTGGCGAGGACCAGCAGCAGTTGTAAATGCCAGACCCGTTCTCTCGTCAGACAGAGCGCACCACACCAACAAACCCACAACTGTCTGACAGTAATAAAAGTTTGGTCGGTAAGCCTGAGATGGGTGATCTATTCCAAGACAGACTGGCCGAGTGACAGTTGGTGTTACATAAGACTCAGACTCAGACTCAGCTACAACAGACTAGAGAGTTGGGATTAGTTGAGTACAGATTAGTACAAAGTAAGGACGAGAGAGCGCACTATGGCCCTGGGGTTCACTCAGCCTCTAACAGAAATGAGTACCAGGAATTAATTAAATAATTTTCCTGGGGAGTAAAGCGCAGCCGGGGCGTAAGGCTGACAACCTTACCACCATCTCTGAGCCGATTGTCTAGATAATGTGGGACCCTCAACGTCTCACAACCCTATGGGCCTCCACGGCCTGGTACAGGGATAGCTTTACTTTACTTTTTAAAGACTAGAGAGACTGGAGATATGCTGGCGATAGAATTGGAGAATTGGGGAGAGTTCTGGAGAATCTGCAGTCCAAAGTGATTTAACAAGAAATGGCAGGAAGACTTCATAGTTATTTGAAGTGCTAGTTTCTGTGTTGAGATCCGTTGCCAGGAGACGACTAGTGGAACTAAGAATCCTAGTGCGTGTGCAACGGTGAACTGGAAGGTGTGTAAATAAGCGATGGCGCTGTATTGATTGTAATTAAGAGAGATGGTAAGAAAAGTGCCAATAAATCAAATCATCCAATGTAGAACCCCGTTATTCATCATGTGTACCCCCTACACGTGACAATATGGAGATCCCTATCAGCTACAACAAATGTAGTTAATGACTTTCTTTTTGTTTTCTTAGTTCTTATAATAACTATAAATAGAAAGTAACTTCGCATGATTCAGAGAATCAAATGTCTCAGTAAAACCTGTGGAGTCTATTTCTGTGCTGTGCAGGCTGCAGAGTGATCAACCCAGTCGCTCCCCCTGAGTCCGGCCCTGCATGTACCTATAAGTTTCTGGAATAAAACGACATCTGTTCTTCCCACTTTGTGTTAGTGAAAACTGGAAATCACTAAGGTATTGCTGGTAAAAGCTGAATCAAAGCTTTAAGACCCAGTGTTTATCTCTCTTTTCCATAAAAACTAGTCATTACCACATTTCCATAGGCAGAACTACTTTTCGCTCATTTTTTTGTGGTTACAAGGAAATGTCCCATGTTTATTTTTTATATTAGGCGTTCTTAAGGAAGTAAATATAATGACTTAGTCTGAGGTCATACCTGTCCATTTGACTGCCTTTCAGTGGCTTCAAATAAGAACTAATTATTGGACTGATTTTCTTTAATTCAACTTTGGAGACTTTCATTAAAACTTGTACGGCAACTCTCATTTTCAGCCCACACTGATTCATAACAGAGCCTACTTCATATAAGATCAGAAATGAAATTTTTTCATGCATATCATAAACCAATAAAATTAGGGATGAAATTTGATATAATAGATGGATGTATATTGATAGTTGGTTAATATAATATGTGTAGGACCTGTTTCATAAACCATTATTCAATTATTTGATAAATTCATTATGGAACATTTTTGCATAACATTAATAGGCAATTTCAATTCCTATCTCTGTTGGCTGATTAAAAAGCCGCGTTCACACGAAGTCATACATTAATTATTTATGTATATGATGAACCAAATTCTGTTTGAGGGATCTTGACATGACGTTAGTTGGCCATTTTAATTCTTAGCTATACCGACAAATTACTAATCCTACTCTATCATAAGGTCACAGTTTTCCCCATTGAGGCTATCACATAATCTCTTCATAGAGTATATTGCTGTTTGATATTATGCATTGTTGTGCTAATGAAATAGAGATTTTGCTCATTTTACCTAATACATTTTTTGTTTTGCTGAAATACTGTTAATGAATGTGTTGTAAGCAAGCTTAACAAGCCACAAAGAAAGCCATTGGGAATTTTGTGTGGTACATCACAAGATTAACAAAAGTAACTATTCTGATTCATAACACTTTTGCCAGTCCTCTTGTATCAGTAGCCTCAATAAAACATGAGACTGGGGAAAGTGTATTTCATAACATAATACACCTATCTTGTTTGCTATTTTCAGTTTTGCTAGCAAGAATTTATAGGGCCATATTTGGGGATTTGACAGTAACATGTACACTGATTGATGAATGAAACATGATGTTCAAATTTGTTTGCATATATTAATCTCTATACAAGGTGAACAATAGTGGAGCTATGCCTCTACTCCCCCACATGTCTTCATGGCATGATGATTAATTAATTAAGCATATAGACAATTTTAACTTTACCTTTTACACTTTTATATAAGAGACATGAAGACAAAAGCATCTGAACATAATGGTGGCAAGCTCTCGCTGAAATTAACATGTTCTTAATTTCTTCAGATGGTTGTGCAGTCCTGACTGACTTGTTACTCTTGTTCCAAAATGTTTGAATGTCAAATTTTCAAAGGATCTACAGCTATCTTCATCTTATGATACTGGTCTGCATTCTGATGAGATGCCAGCAAAGCCAGACACTAAGTTTTTTCTGCATTTACTTCCATACTAACCTCTTTATTAGCTTCAATTTGAGGTTTTGTGTTTTGCTTTATGGAATTCATGTTTTCTCCCACTAAATTAACAAATTAATAGCTGACACATTCCAACAAATTTAAGCTATTTTTGATATCTTGAAAATTAATGGCAATAAGGCATAACTTCATCATATGCTAGGTTAACTCTGAGACAATAACGTTGGATAAAATTTGATATGACGTTCATAACAGCAATGTGCCTTGATAATTACTACAGTCAGTTCTATCACCCTTCTAGTAAACACATACAAGATAGTCTCTATCCAGCCCTGACAATATTCTTCATTTCAAAGAGAATTGTTAAGTTCTTTCTTTAATCGCTTAGTGGAGGGTGGAGTCCAGCTGCATCCACTTGGCACGGTGGCCACTGATTGGCCTATTGTAGACTGCCCTGGGTGATAATGATGATGGAGAATTTGGTGGAATGAAGATTGGCAGGGGAAACCGAAGTACGCGGAGAAAACCTGCCCCAGCGGCACTTTGTCCACCACAAATCCCACTTGACCAGACCCAGGATCGAACCCGGACCACCGCGGTGGGAAGCCAGCGACTAACCGCTTGAGTTATGGAGCAGACTAATTAATAAGTTAATGGATGTCAGAAAGTAATGAATCATCTCCTACTTGAATCAATTCTGGCAGAAACCTGTTCAAACTAAACTCAGGACAATTAGAAATATCTCACTTGTATGCTTCTTCAGCTAATTCAATATCACCTTCGCACGTAAAGGAGAATAGACTTACCCACATCTTTAGTGATGGAAGAAGACGCATTTTTTGAAGTGCCCCGAGTCTGAAACAGAGGGAACATTTTACTTCTAATGAGAAATCTTAATCTGTTATTTTTAGCATTATCCAGAAGGTGCTTAAACATGACAACTAGAAACTGTGTAATGCACGGAACAAAAATGTAAGAGATAAAGTTGCTTAAATTAATGACTCTCAGATTCCTTGTTGGAATTCCAATGACACATTCAGAAACATGTATTCACAAAATTGCATCAAAGTAAGTCAGTTATAAATCAAAAAAATGATGGAGTATTTTCTTCCTATAAGATATAGTCTTACATTAATTTTTATAATGCAGTGCACGACACTTACTTGTTTAATGTCATGTTCTCCAGATGCAGGAGTGTGCTGGAAGGCATAGTTGTTGGTGCTGAAGAAAGGTCCTGGTTTCTTCACATCCAATCGCTCCTTGCGTTTGAATCCTCTATCCAGCGCGTCATACTCATCAAGCAGGGCATCAAGTCCATCGTCAAGCGCATCCTGGAGGTCATCTGGCTCCTGAACACCTGAATGTGCTGGTTCACTAGAACCTGAACAAACACAAACGAAAAGCTGTGTGAAATTATCTAGAATCAGTTTATGTTTGAGGCAGCAAGTGAGGTAAGTACGATTTTGCCACATGGTGACTCATAAGAGAGAACTCTTTGCAGCTCTGAAGCAACAATGCCTGGGGTGGACTTCGACGTAAGAATGGCTGTTGGTGAGGGCATATACAAACCCACAAATGTCCGACAGATACAAAAATATGGTCTTGGGGCTCAGATGGGCCTTGACACCAAGGCAGACTGTCCAACGGTTGAACAGGAGGCCCCATTTCAGAACACGTAAAAATCTGGTCACAGGTTCCAACGGGGCCCGAAACCAAGAACGAATATGCTTGCAAGGATCAGGTGCAATTTACTGGACTGGACTGGACTGGGCTGGAAGTCAGTTAGTTGAGACAGTTGTGAGATAGCAGCCAGTCAGCAATGATTTAAGTCTGAGAGCAGAAGATTCTCCACTTCTGGGAACCGTAATCATGAAACAACTAGTGAAGACTATAACAAACTGAGACAGTGTGTGCTATAGTGAATTGCTAAGTGAGTAGATTAGCGACATCATTATAATTACTTATAGTTACGAGTTATAAAATTCCAACATACCCATTTACAAATTAATACCCTGTGTCTAGTCACTAACATGTGACAAAATTATTTATTTTAAGATCTGATGACTCTTTTATTTTAATAATTGCAAGTGCTTAAGACCGCTTTAATCGACCATGCTGCCTCCATCTTCAAGGCAGAAGTAACTTCTACCCCAAAGATGAAGGCAACATATTCCTCTGAAAGTTTTATAAATAACTGTAAGACTACATAGCACTGCATCCCAGATGATAGTAATCTTCAAAGAAAAACAGAAGTACAGAATTCTATCTGATGACATAAAGACAACAACTAGTGTGATACAGACAAACTCAAAGAATGCCTGACAGAAGACGGCAGAAGTGGGGACATCAGTGGATATCAAATTACTTATATTTTCTGTGATTTCTACTCTTATGTTACTGTTTAATTAAATTTTATCCATATGATGTTATATTTACACCTTATCTGAACTCATATAATTTCTTACCTCTACTTTGTTTAGGTAGATACACAAGTCCTCCTTCTGTGTACGCCTTTCCTTCTGAATCTGCTCTGTGATTCATCGTACTGCCTTCTGAAATGACGTTCCCCTCTGGAATTATTGGAAATCTATTGTCTGTATTGTAATATATGTTTGCTAGATCCTTAATTTCAGGACTGGAATTGCCATTTTCTCTTTCCTGAGCGCGGAATTCTTCTGGTAAAATTTCATCTTCTGGTGTTGTTGGATCCCTTCCTAATCCTAAGAGTCTGCCAGGTGAATCATCTGCCACATCATTATTATCATTCAGTTCATAGATAATTTCATCAGGAGGTATTAAATTCTGTTTTCTTGTTTCAACCAGATTAATATCCCGTGACTCAAATCCTTCACGGAATTTATCGGGAGTGTTGTACTGTCTGGTGAACTGTTCAAGGGATACATTAACTATGTCTTTATCATCAACTTCATCCCGTGTTTCAATGCCTTCACGAAAAGACTCAGGTGTATTATAATTGCGAGAAAATTGACTCCTTGCTGCTGCGAATTTACCAGTATTTTCTTCATTAGATATGGCTTGATTATCTCGAACCTCCTCTTCATCTCGCGTTTCGAGGCCTTCTCTAAAACTATCTGGTGTGTTGTAATGTTCGCTGAATACACCCTCCTTAGCATCAGAAGGTTTCAGTAGAGATGCCAGAAATACGGACCGTGTGCTTAGTGGAGATGAACGTCGATTATTTTGGCCTCTTTTGGTAGGATATGATTTCTTTGCGAGAAGCAAAGACTTCAGGGAATGATGTCGAACTTGTGCTGGACGGTGACTTTCCTCGGCTTTGATAACTGTGAAGAAGGGAAACCACATATTAATCCCAAAGGATTTTTATCAGAGTAGAAAGACGCAGCCCATTTAGATATACACAGCAGTGAAATTTAGTCTACGGGATTTTAGAACGCTGTACGTCACTGAAATAAATCAGTTATGATAAATTTCAGAAACGAGGGCTGTTTGGAAAGTAACCTCCGTTTATTCTGTGCAACTAATGTACGAGCGGGGAAGAGTTCGTGCATGCGAGGTAGCGTCACATGGCTTATTGCCTTGTAAACCATCATATAACTATTCACCTAGTGTTTGTTCTTGTCTCTGCATGTTATGATGTTTCTGCTACTGATAGTCCCGCCAATTACGAATTTCGCGCTGTTGCTCGCCTACTTCACGCTACAAACACGAGTTTTGCGGAAATCTATCGTGAATTATGCGAGGTTTATGGACAAAATTTAATGAGTGAAGGACCTGTAGGACAATGGTGTAGAATTTTCAAAGAAGAACGAACAAATGTTCACGATAAAGAGGAAAGTGGTCGGCCGACCTAGTGAGTGACGATCTTATTCAAAAGATTTGTGCAAGATGGCACTTCACACTTTCGTGTGAATTTCCACAAATTTTACGCACTATTCTCTATGAGATTATCACAGTTAGGCTAGGTTATCAAAAGTTCTGAGCAAGATATGTTTCGAAATGCTCACGGCTGAGCTCAAAACGCATAGAATGGCTTAGGTTTCGTAGACGTTTTTCGGAGCGGTTACAGAAATACGTATGGTGATCAATTTCTCAATCACAACGTACGAATAACAGGTGGCGAACATTTCTCAATTTTGAAACCGAAGAGCATTCAAAGCAGTGGACGCATACATATTCACCACATACGACGAGAAAATTTAAACAAATGCTGTCTGCCAGAAAGTGGATGATAACTGTTTTCTGAGAGAGGAAGGGTGTGCTGATAGTGGAATTCATGCAACAAGGGGCCACATTAACGTGAGTAGTGTATTGCGAAACATAAAAAAATTGCGTAGGGGTATTCAGAACAAAAGCCGTGGAATGCTGACATACGGTGTAGTGCCCCTCCATATAGAGGAGCCTGAAGAACTGGTTGGGATCACAGCGCTTCAATAATAATGAGGAGTTAATGGAAGGTGTCAAAAATAGCTAAGCTCACTGGCGGGGGACTTATTTGACACAGGGATACAAAAACTTATTTCTCGATAGCAGAAGTGCTTCAATTTCGGCGGTGACTACGTTGAGAAGTAGCTTAAGTATGTACGTATTTTTTGCATATAAATTACAGTTTTTGTCACTGCTTGTTTTGTTAACAATTCACAGGAGCCCGATTAGCCCTCATATGAAAGTGTATCTAAAGTGTCTTTAGCTCTCTAATTGCTAAGTGTATGACACAGAGTCTTCATTGGCTCAGAATTGGACTGGCAGCAGAACCGACACACTTACAACCTAAGGACATTATGAAGACTCACATTACTCAGATTGCAGCAGAAGCTGCGTTGTTGTTGAAGTTGTTGTCGTAGTGAGGAGAGCGGTCAAGCTTAGCATTGATTTCAATCAATCTGTCTTCAATTTCAACAAGCAACTGTTATAAAAATTACCGTGAAGTGAACTTATGTATTATGTGCTGGCTTACTCTTGTAGTCTCTGTGATGCTCAACTCTTGTTACTGTAATTGATGTGTGTGACAAGAAGTCATTCTAGCAGTCATTTCATTTCACATGCCAAAATGCCATGTGTATGTGGGTAAATATCTGAGAAACGATTACTCACGTACGTTATGTACATGGAAAATTATTTTGCAAGAATGGTAAAGAGAAGACGCCAGCATCATAACTGGTAAGGTAAAGTTGTCCCTTTGCCTAACTAATTAAGGATTACGCCATGAAGACTTATGCTTCACGCTCCGACCGCCTTACCCGCTGGGAAAGGAGCCCCTGGTACCCATTGGATAGGAAATGGGCGGGCCCCAGAGCCGGTCTGGACGACATGAAGAAGTGAAAACTCTTGATCCTACCGGGACTCGAACTCCGACCCCTCGGTAGTCCAGCCCGTAGCCAGTCGCTATATCGACTGAGCTATCCCGGCAAAGAGAAAAAAGGGCATCAATAAGGGAAATCGAATTGAGCTAATGCCACAATGGAACATTATCCTTAGAATTCTCTCAGACAGCTTGCACGGGAGACCGCGGTTTCCAAGTTTCAAGTTTACTCTGCGTATATCCCAGCAATCATTTCAGTGTGTGAATGCAAATATTTTACAGGGATCCATGTCGAACATCAGGGAGTATTTCCGGCATATGCTGTGATATTGGTACTCTGTATTTGTAATGCGTTTAGGCTGTAGGTTTACTGGTTCCGACACGAATTCAGATTTCTGTGATGAGGCTTGGTGGGAACAGCAACTGACTCTGCCACCAAAATGACTGGAAAATTTGCGTAAAAATCTGAAGTAATCACACTGTTTTACTAAAGTAAATAACATGGTAAAGCAAACATACCTGGACCTGCCGCTAGATCTTGTTCAACATCCTCATCCATCCGAGGAGGAAAGTAGACTTCATCAGCAAATTCAGTGTGAGGATTCGATGCGCTGGGAGTGAATGAGACGTAAGCCAGGTTGTATGGTTCGAGCTGTAACAGGCGTAGTTATCATGAACTGTAAGCTTGCGCCAAGGTGACAATAATGTCTGGAACATAAGTCTCACAATTGCGTTTATTCAAGTCTCTTATCTTTAGTTTCACTGGCATTTACCTTTGCTGTGTCATTAATACAGGGAGGATGTTCACTTTGTTGATCGGTTCCACGGCTCTGCGCTTCACGATGACCGGAGCGCCGCTTGCCGCGAGGCGCATATGAATGTTTCCAATGAGATCAGTACTCCTGACGGTAAAATTCATAGGCGCCTCGTAGCAAGCAGAGCACCGGTCGCCGTGAAGTGCAGAGTAGTGAAATGGTCAACAAAGTTAAAAACTCCTTGTAAATGCATTAAGTTCCTATTAGCTAATTATCTATAGCTAATTCCTATCTCGGGATATCTGCACCAACGCAAGATAAAGTATACAAAGCAAGCACAGCACAAACCATCTGCGAGAGTTAAGACAAAACATTAAAATATTAAAAATAACTCTACACTATGAGGCCTAGCACCAGAGTATTATCAGAACAGAAGTCGTCACTAAAGAGGCAAATTCTCTGTATGGTACCAACACAAAAACACACTTTTAACATTTAATCTGCCCTGCATGGATTTGTAGTTTTCTGACTTATGATTCAGTAATAGGAGTCCAGATGGGGGAGATGTCCAAGTTGGACTGACTGACCGGAAGATCTACCAGAGACATGTGGGCTGATTCCTTGCATTTCCTGTATGTGGTGTTTGATTCTATCCGCAAGACCTTACCTTATGTATCGATTGGGCCCAATGGAGTACGTTTTACTTGAAGACGGAGACAGAATCCAGTCTCCGAAACGTTACGTTTGATATAAAAACAGGACGATGGATAAGTCCAAAAGCATAATATTTGAAGCAATGAATTAATTTATCAGTGATATCCCGAATGGGGATTTTCGTGGTTTTCTTCAATATCCCCAGGTAAATACCAGGATAGTGTATAAAAATAAGCTATGACCGTTTCTTTCCAAATCATTTCCTATTAATTGTTCATTAAACACCCTACAACTTAACATTGTACAGGCAGAGCTACTGGCAGCTTCGTTAAATAAACATCATAAATAAATTCATAGCATAAATATTTCAGATAGGGAATTTTAAGTATTTTAAACACTGTGCATATTAAGCCTCGTGTATGTATTTTAATCTCACACGCATAGAGGTTTTATAATGAGCAGAATGAATTAGTGATATTGAACTGGACATTTTACGCAGAATGTAGGAAAAAAACAGAGGAATAACTATTCAAGAAAAAGAGAGACTCATCAGAAACTGAGCTTTCAGTGACCGCTTGATGTTCCTGCTAAGTGGGGTTAGTATTGGCACCTGCTGATTGTTTTGTAAAGAAACACAAAGACGCTGAAATATAAACATATGGTGTGATCTCAGACGGCAAAAAAAAAAGCATATGTTGGTTAATATAATCAGTTTTATAATTTAAATAAACTATCATAAAGAATATACTACCTGAATTCATTGAGTAAAGACATATAAATAATTTATTCAACCTGCTGCCGGCAGGAATTAATTTACGTGTATATTTAGAACGTGCGAAAGGCTCATTAACACATGCATGTCAATTCAAAACTGCTGCCTTGTAGCAGTTAAAGGAGACCAGAAGACTTAAATTTGAAACATCTGAGAAATACTTAAGAAATTGTCTACATATCTTCAAAGATCTTGCAAAATATTACGGTTTTGTGGTTTGTTTCTGATTTTTTACAGACTGTAAATAAAACTCTGCCTTATATTCTAAATGTATAAATACAAAACAAAGTATATACCCTCTCAGTCATTGTGTGCACAATAAAGCACAGTTCTCTAACGTACATCAACTGTGAAAACGTTGCTGCTTCTAACCTGCTGTAATTCTACATTACATAAGGTTATTTTCACTTCGTTCGTGCAGTGATGGTTGATCCTGTTGTAAATACGAGTGTTATTATTTCTTCAATATCGAACAACAAGCAGCGCACGTTATATTCATCCAGTCACCTACATATGCCATCACTGATATGAATCTGATTCAGACTGTGTTGTTTGTCAGTCATAAAAACTGATCTATTCGCTTTTATGACTATCAATTTTATATACTCCAGCTTCCAGAATTCTATATGTTTTGCCACTATTNTCTTCTCCATTCTTCTCCAACGCCACATTTCGAAGCTTTCCAGGTGTTTCTGATCTACTGCCCTAAGTGTCCAAGTTTCAGCCCCATACAAAGCCATGCTCCAAATGTAGCATTTCACTAGTTTCTTTCTCAAATTTAAGTCCAATTTGCTGGCAAAAAGATTCTTCTTCTTGCTATTTTAAATATGTTCATAAAATGAGCACAAACAGGGGAGGTGTCAATCAGTCTATCTACGTGTATATGCTAGTCTGTCCATACAGTTTAACTCACGGTCCGTTGGATGGGTTTTAATAAAATCTGGTATGAACATTATAGCATTGTAGACCATTCGAAATTCGTGTTTTTTAATCCCTACATTTTGTAATAACAACATGGCTGATGCGTGAATTTGTAGGGTGAGAGCGACACTGAAGCTACTTCCAAAATCCAGCAACAATAGCAAAAAGTAAAGTAAAGGTACCCTGTAACAGTCCGTGGGGGCCCATAGGGTTTTGAGATGTTGAGGTTCCCACATTTTGTAGACACTCTGCTCACAGATGGCGGTGAGGATGTCATCCTTACGCGCCGCCAGTAACAATAGTAATCAAGATTAATGAGTGTATCCTAAGCTGTACTTTCAGGTCGTGTTTCGTTCGGTGATAAATCTCCGAAAATGGGAACTTTCTTTCGTTACTGGCAAAGAGACATATATATGTAGTCAAAATGAAAAATGTCAACAGAAAAAAATTTGTTTAAAAATTTACCTAAGACAGGGACAGTGAGTATTGCAGCTAAAATTGGAAATTATTTATGCAGCTACACCACAAATATATCCACAATATTTTATAAAGCCAGTTTTCTATAAAAATATAGTCCAGCATTTCCAGTAAAGCATTATTTTTGTAATCCAAATAACAAATAACCATAAAAATTTTCTCAATTCTTTTCTAAGACAGTGACAGTGAACACTGGGAATTTGTTTATGCAGCTAGATCGTCCACAATGTCCTATAACGCCTGTTTTTGTATGTTAAGACTTAAAAGCAGTCATACATATTTCCTGGAAAGTGGAAAGCAGTAAGTAGGTAAACAAGGAAAGAGATGGATATAAAAGGAAGTTTCTGAAGAGAATACAATCATACCTACACCCCCCTAGATGAAGTCAGGCTGCTTTCTTCCCACCTAACTTTTTCTCTTTCTAATCACATGAAATACTGACTGGTAATAACTGCACAAGCCGGACCTTTTTGCCATTATTCCAAATCCCAAGCCTTTAAATGCGCAAGTTTTACACAGTTGAGTATTGTGTACACCATATACATTGAACACCTGATGAAGAAGCATTATTATATATTATTATTACGTTCATGAGGTTTTACCTGTTCATCTCCTTCGATGGCTTTAAGCGCCGCTTCTAGATCTTGGTCTATCAGATGGTCACATATCCCGCGGTCATAGTCCAACCTGCAACACAAAATTATAACTGAATATCTGTTCCACGCTGGACTGAAAACAGATGTTCGTATGGATTAATGCTATCTGGGTGAATACGAACAGTGTACCTTCCAGGTTCACAGACTACAGGGCCCACCCAGCGGCCTCCGTAGTCTAGGGGTAACGTTCCCACCTCATGACTCAAACCCGGCGGAGGTCGTGG